AGAGGAGTCCACACCCTCCCTCAGCCCACCGCTATGAAGAAGGCTTGTAGGATTGTTACATTCTTATCTTGTTACATTGTTTCTCTTTAATCTTCCATCAATAATGCTGAGTCAGCGACAGCTAGCAGCTGCGGTAGAAGAGGCCGGGACCTGGCGACGGCGGTGGAGGAGCAGGCCGGGCTCAGTGGCGGTGGAGGAGGCGGTGCCCGGCGGCGGTGGAGGAGGACGAGCCTGGTGGTGGAGGCGGCGCCCGGGCCGAGCGGCGACCATGGAGGAGAAGGCTAGGGCCACTGGTAGAGGAGGCTGGCAGGTAAGTGCTGTGCAGGGGTGTGACCAACCCACCTGAGACCCTGCAGAGCCAACCATAGAGAGTCTATGGTGAGCTCTGCAGGGTCACTCTCAGGTGGGCTGTGCATAGTCTCAGGTGGGCTTTGCAGGATCTCAGGTGGGCTGTGCAGGGTCACTCTCAGGTGGGCTGTGCGGGGTCTCAGGAGGGCTGTGCAGAGTCTCAGGTGGGCTGTGCAGGGTCACTCTCAGGTGGGCTGTGCATAGTCTCAGGTGGGCTTTGCAGGATCTCAGGTGGGCTGTGCAGGGTCACTCTCAGGTGGGCTGTGCGGGGTCTCAGGAGGGCTGTGCAGAGTCTCAGGTGGGCTGTGCAGGGTCACTCTCAGGTGGGCTGTCCGGGGTCTCAAGAGGGCTGTGCAGAGTCTCAGATGGGCTGTGCGCGATCTCAGGAGGGCTGTGCGGGGTCTCAGGTGGGCTGTGCAGGGTCTCAGGAGGGCTGTGCAGAGTCTCAGGAGGGCTGTGCGGGATCTCAGGAGGGCTGTGCAGAGTCTCAGGTGAGCTATGCGGGGTCTCAGGAGGGCTGTGCAGAGTCTCAGGAGGGCTGTGCGGCGTCTCAGGTAAGCTGTGCGGGGTCTCAGGAGGGTTGTGCAGAGTCTCAGGAGGGCTGTGCGGGGTCTCAGGAGGGCTCTGCAGAGTCTCAGGCGGGCTGTGCGGGGTTTC